GTGCTTTACACAATTGATGTATGTATGGATTGTGATAAGAGTTGTATGAGCCCCTAATAAAATGATTTAAAAAATGTTCACTTTGGGGACCTATGAAACAAATAAATAAAAAAGTAGATCAAACCACTACCCAAGTCAAGTGAACCGAACTGTGCGGGAAAGGCAGCCCTGAGGCCTCTTCTTCTTGCTCCATGCCCTCCCCAGTGCCCAACACTGAAGGGCAGGTTTGCCTGACTCTCCCTTTTCATCACTGGTTGCCAGTGAGTCGATTCCAAATCATAGGTACCCTATAGAAGGAAGGATCCCATGGACTTCTAATACTGTAAATCTTTATAGAAACAGACTACCATGTTTTTCCCAGTGAGCAATTCATTAGTGGGCTCAAACTACTGGTCTTGTGGTTCATAGCTGAGTGCCCAGCTTCTGCTCTCACCAGGGTACAGCCTACCCAAAACACACACACACACACACACACACACACACACACACACACACTCACTCACTCACTCACTCACACCCACCCACCCATGCTTGCCCTTTCTTATCTAGGAGCCCAGTCATTTCAGAGGGTCGGTCCCCATGGGAGGGCCAACAGAAGATGCTACACTATGAGACCTGTCTTCTGCAGCCATGGGACAGAATGACTGACTTCCCCTGGAGCAGTTACCCTGGAGGATGAGGGGAGGAGAACGGGTTAACATTCTAGTTGAGCGCTGCTTTCTTCCAAATCAAAGTTCTCACTCAATAGCATACCAAGGTCAGCGCCCTTGTAATCCACTAATAGTTTCTGTTTGACTTGATGTTTACTCCAAAAACATTTTCAGAAGTTTGCTTAATTCTTAATAACTATACAGAGGCAGAATTAGCTAAGTGATCATCTCTTTTCTGGCTAATGAGAAAAACAATCTTCTTGCCCGGAGTTCTGGGTTCAGGAGTGGGCATGTTAGATGGTTTATTACAGATGACAGGTTTATAAAGCAACATTGCTTCACAGCAGGCTTCCAACTGGTTCATTCCAGCTCGATGCCCTGCTGAGAAGCTGCATGTTTTCATCCAAGATTAAACTGAATCGGAACCTATATTTAAACCAGGTCCTCTAAGATCTTGTTAAAATCTAGATTCTGATTCACTACATCTGCAGGAAAAATGCAGACCCTTAGCAGGCTGTCAAACTAGATCGAACCAGTTGGAAGTCCTGCTGCAAGGTCCGACCAGTGACTGACTGGGAAGGCTGGTTTTCACAACTCTTCCCTTGCAGGATACCAATGGCTTTTCCTGAATAGATGGAAGAAGTACAGAATTGGCAGATTATATTTAGAAGTCATTAGCGTCTCTCTTGTGATTTTTTCATGGTGACATCATGGCAACCTATACTCATTGTTATCAAATGTTTTCAGACATTCAGATGCAGAAAATAGCTATGCTGTTGACTGAATGTTCTTAGTGGATGAGAAGGGAGAGGTGGAAGAATTGACCCAGAAAACCATTTTCCCAATGTAATGGAGATTTCCTGCTGGTCCTCGGCATGGCCCTTTTTGGCACTGCCCGTCTTCTCACCAGGCTACTTAGAAATTGTGGCAAATAATAGGGAAAGGTGCTGGTGCCCCAATTTTAACCATATTTTTATGTTCTTGGTCAATCTCCTTTTCTTATTTTACCTCTAGATAATAAATTATCATCGCTATTTTGCTAAAAATTGGGAAGGAAATCATTATGGTATGTTGCATTTTCTTATTTTGGTTTTTAGGTGTTCTTAACCATTTCATAATATTATTATAAAAGTCACCAGGTCGCCTGACGAGACTAACACCAGAGAGTAAACCTAATACTGCGGGGTAAACCAAAGTGACCAAGCCAAAAAAAAGTTAAAAATTAACAATGGCTTCAGGAATAGAATCCACCCGTTGTGAAAGAACCTAAATGATCAACGGATTCTGACATTTTAACTTCCTCAGACCTACGCAGCACTTTCAGTGTGCAACGTGTCATTTTAGCACGAAGTGACGCGGTATCTTCCACCACTCCAACAATGTCTTAGAAATGCAATCTGTGTTCTCTGTTCAAAGGAGGTGTCAAGGAACACTTGAGTGAATGAAGCGTATTTCCATTAGGCTCTTAACCTTGAAGGCAGGGACCCATGTGCGCCCTACAAAGCTAGGCACACCGTTAGCTCTAAATTTAATCTCGCCCGCCCGCCCCCACCCCCGCACCCCCACCATGCCCAGGACTCAGTTATTTGAAGGAAAGAAGAGAATGAAATAAGGCAAAAGTGCGAATGGAAAGCTTCACAGATCTACACTGACAGAAAAGCCACTAGGGGCCTGGCATGGCATAAAGAAAAAGATCAGTTCTCCAAAGGATTCCTGGGCTGGAGAATGCACGAAGGAGCCCGATTCTGACTGACCTCAGGGGTCAAGGATTGCTCCTTGCTTTGAGTTCCATTTCCTCATTTGTGAAATGAGGTATGCGATACCGCCTGGAGAAATAAAGAAAATGGCACAGCACCTTGCAGATGGTGCTATGATGTTGTGTAATTATACACTGTGCCTACAAAAATAGAATATTAGCTTTTGCACAGTGGACTTATTTACTAAAGATGATAAAGACCTATAGGACTATAAAGGATGGCGATGAACTGGAATTGAAAATGGATCCTGAACTCTGGAGGCAGCCGGAGAAGAACTGTTACAAAGATCCACCTATTTGAACCTGTAAGCAATTTCTTTATCTAGAAACACTGAGTGTAAGCTTCCTTATAGAAGATGGCCATCCGTGTCCTGATAATAACGCCCAGTGAATGCCTTGTCTCAGAGGATTCTTTCATTCACTGAGTGTCTTCAATGGGTTAGGCATTCTGCAGGTGCACAGAGGGTTAGAATGGTAAGCAAAAGAGAAAGGGTTCCTTCCTGGCATGCACAATGTAATGAGGGATCTGGTTTGGGGGCATCTTCTCACAGTTGCAGATACAGATAGAATAGGACCTGACCGTACACTTAATTCACGCCCTT